TTTTTATGTGGAATGTTGAAAATAGTCATAATAAAGAATGAGTTGGTCTCCAAATCTATATAAATAAATGTATTTATTTATTTATTGAATATCAAGAGGCATTTATTTATTTTAATTTATATTTTATTTTAATATTTCTATATGCTGAATATTGAAAGTAAAAAAAAATGGGGTCTAGATATATAATTTTTTGCAACATATAAATCAAATTATGTTGTGGTAGATATTTAACAGTGGCACCTTTTTCTCAGGGAGTATTATGTGTGACAAAAAATTGCTAAATGCTTCAGTCATCATATGAAACAAATCCAGTCAAGTGTGTCTCAACTTCTGATTCAAAATTTGATGATAATTGTTGTTGGTCAATTAACAACAACAACAACAAAATTTGATTTGGTCCAAACAACAATATTTTTCTATGACCCTATAGATATCAAATATATGGAGTTTCTGTGCTGTGCTCGGTTGCATTTTTCCGGAAAACCGTTGAAGTAAGCATCCCACAAAAAACAGTCAATATCCCCCCAGAGGTGAAACCTCGTGTCATAGGTGTTGGGTTTCCATTTTCCCGCCGACTCAGCATCAGCAACACCGTTGCCATTAGCAACCGTGAGTTCGCGTGCGTCCATCGGTGTGTGTTAGCGCGGCGCGGCTCATGTCTGAGTCATGTCACGTCTGTGTGTGTGTGATTGAGTGTGTCGTCTGGTCTCGTGTGACAGAAACACACGTTGCAGAAGGAGGCCAGTGTGCTAATCTGGCTTAGTGCAGCTTGAGCTGTAGCTGCAAACCCAATCTGAGGTCTTCTAGGGAGGGACAGAGACACAGCAGCCGGCCGTGAGGGTTGGGTTTCACTCTTCAATGTGTATGCAGTGTAAGATAACCTTGCCATTAAGGACAGCACACAGGGAGGAGAAGGGAGGCTCATTGTGTGAAGCATCATTTCGCTCTATAGGCACAGAGTCGGGCTAATGCTCACAGGTACTGGGCGTACATCGAGCCTCTGGACTTCTGACAGACAATAATGAGATGATTGCCGGATAGATACGGGCAGAATGATAAGGTACGTTTGCATTGTGAATGTCTCGTTTTTCAGCGTTTCAGGTCAGTGTGAATTGTGGTTAGGAAGTGATAGTATTGGTGAACCTTTCATTGACTCAATGCTTTCAAATTCTGTAACTGAATTCTCTGAACTTATAAGAGAGATTGTGCTTTAACAAGGAAGTCGTTTATTTTTTGTTTCTTAGATTTCTTTGTTGGCGTCACTCACATTGTCTGATTTGTCACGTGGTTTAAATGGTCTTGATAGCTTGTTCTTTTCTTAGCTGAAGTTAGTCGAAAACAAGATTTTAGTGTCTCTTCAAAAATTTCTATATTTTAAGGGGATTAAATGTGATCAAAAAAAGCTTTTTGCACTGGAGAAAGAATGAAAAATGTAATTTAGGTGACTTTGATCTAATCAGCAGATTCTGAGTAAGTGTTAATGTGTCTCATTTATATGCTAATGAGTGTTTAAGTGACTTTTCAAGAGCTGAAATTCAAGAGGTTTGCATTGTGTCACATTTAGACTTGAGCTAAAATTACATCTTGATATTTTTCAGGCTTTAAATACATTTAACATATATCTCGATATTTGTGCATTTATATGCGCAGTATGCCATGTTGAGACTTTAGTGAACATTTAAGAGGGATTATGCAAATGAATCATTAAGTCAGATTTTAAATTGATTCATTGAAACTGACAGTTCAAACTAAATCGCATTAAAGGAAAATGTGCTCACTCTCAGATCATCCAAGATGTAGATGAGTTTGTTTCTTCATTGTAACAGATTTAGAGAAATGTAGCATAACATCACTTGCTCACCAATGGATGCTCTGCAGTGAATGGGTGCCGTCAGAATGAGAGTCCAAACAGCTGATAAAAACATCACAATAATCCACAAGTAATCCACACCACTCCAGTCCATCAGTTAATATCCTGTGAAGTGAAAAGCTGCATGTTTGTAAGAAACAAATCCATCAAGACAGTGACTCTCAATTTTTATCTTCACATGAATCATATTGAAAGTAGAAATGAGCTTTATAGTCAGAGTTTCAGAGTAGAGAGACACATTACTGAATGAACGTAGCCAGAAGTGATAACACCATTTCCTTGTGCATGATCTGGAATCTCAACGCACTGAACGTTTGATTTGAATGGATGAAAGATATATTTTGTACAGCTGTTATTGTCTGTTGATCAGAATAAGTCCACTGAAGGTCAGTAACATCCAGAGAAACTCCAGAGTGTTTGAGAACATTTCCAGTCTGGAACACAACACACTTTTGATTTAGTAATTAGCATTTTTTTTTTTTAATTACTGCCATTTTTATCTATACTTTTCAGTTATTAATGTTTATTGTCTCCAATTCTAACATTTATCTGTCTGCCTATCTAATATTATTAATTACTGAAAAAAATACATTTAATTTAAAAATAACAAAAACAACAAAATTGCTGAAACTTAAACTAAAATTCAAGTGTAAACAGAAAATATCAAAATAAAAGCTCATTTTACAGTTTTGACATTACCATGTTACAGAGTTAATGATACAGTAACTCCAATAAATACACAACACAAATATTGTTTAAATTGTCTGTTTAATTATTTAATGAAATCTAAGGTTATTTATAGTCTACGATTCTCCCATTTGATCTTTTTCACTGCATCTTTTTCTGATGCATTTTGCTGTTTTTTTTATTTATTTTAAGTTACAGTATGTGCCTTGAAGTTATAGTGAAAATTCTCTCATTTACTCACTCACTAGTTGTCCCAAACTTGCATGAGTTTCTTTCTTCTGTTGAACACGAAGACATTTTTAAGAATATTGGTAGCCAAACAGTTGCCAGTAGCCATGGACTTCTATAGTATTCCATAGTATGTCAGTGGCTACCGGCAACTGTTTAAATAAATGAAGACAGGATTTTCATTTTTGGATGAACTATCCTTTTAACACGCATTCACACTGACACAAGTTATTCGTTTTAATAGAGAGTTGGTGATTTGAAGTGACTCACTCAAGCCACTTTGGTGATGAAGCAAACCTTGATCCGTATTTATGCTTATATTTCCTTCACAGTAGGAGCATCTTAAAATCTGTCTAGGTTTCTAGCTTGTTAGATTTCAGAGCAGCTATTGTCTTGGCTTTGGTTTTTTTCCTCCAGGTTGATTTGTTCTGGATGGGACGTGAGCTAAGCCTGTATTGATGCAGGCTAGATGTCTAATGGTTACCCTCCCTCAGGCTTTCTCCAGCCGCTCATCAGAAAAACGTTCTCAATTATTCATATGAGCCTCTTCTATTAAAGAGCACAGGCACTTACCCACAGCTCCGGCTCCTTTACATCGGAGCAGACCTGCTGTTAATGGAGCAGTGTCTGCCGACGGCCACATTTGCCAGATAAATGTTAAAGGGCTGGATGGAGTAATGTGAATAATAGGAGGGAGTGATTGATTTGACCTTCACTGCCCTCTTGGTATCATTACACTCCCGCACACCGTAGTCCGGCCGCTGATCTACACAGAGCAATGACAACTCATGATGTGCTCTTTCAATAATAATACAGACTAATAAAGTTTGCCCTAAAATGATAATTCGGTCTCAATTACTCACCCTCATGTCATTTTAATTCTAACAACACCATAAAATCGCCATAAAAGCCTCATGCTCTATATTTCAAGCTTCTGAAGTTAAATATCTATCTATCTATCTATATATATATATCTATCTATCTATCGTTCCGTCGTTCTATCTATCGATCTATCTATTGGTTGTTCTGTCGTTCTATCTATCGATCTATCTATTGGTTGTTCTATCGTTCTATCTATCGATCTATCTATTGGTTGTTCTATCGTTCTATCTATAATTCTTTCTGTTGTTCTGTCTGAAGTATTAAAATAGTTTTCTATTAACTGCTGTTTTCATTAATTGAAATAAAGCTGAAATAAAATGCAATTTTTAGACTAAAAACGTAAAAAAAAAAAAAAGTGAAATGTTGCCTTAGCAACTAACTGAAATAAAATAAGTTACCGTACTAAAATTGGGGGGAAAAAGTTCAAGCTTGAAATTGAAACATAAAAAACAAATAAAACTTAAACTAACATTCAAATGAAAACAATAAACAATAAAAGCTAATTCAAAATATGAATAAATAATAATATAATAATTAATACTAAAAAAAACTCTCTGTCTGTCTATCAGTTGGAATTATACCTGTCATTTTATTCATATTTAGCTGTATTTTTGGAATAAATTTAGTGGACGTGTGCTTGATGCGTGAAATTTGTTTTAGCATCATCAGGATTTTTAGCCTTTATTTTTTAGAAATTTTTGTTTTTATTTTTTATTTTACAGTTTTTGAGTAGTTTTAATTTAACAAATGAATTTTTTCAAAGTACAAATATTATATTTAGTCTGTAAAATAATACGAGGTGACAAAACTGCATACATAATTAAACAAGAATGATCAAAATGCCACATAAAATCATTTTAGATTAAGTTTTGCTTGTCACCACAGAGCATGTCAACTTCCCAAAAAATATTTCATGCAAACTACAGTACCTGCATACATGCCTTTTTTTATTTTAAGTGTGTTTTGTGTCCAGATTTTTTGTGTGCGCGTGTGTGTGTGTTTGCTTTTAGACATGTTTGGATCTGCAGCACTTGTGTGTGAGTATCACTATCCATTCAGTCTCCCCAGATCTTCCCGATCTCACTCCCACCCCTGAGTAGGTGCTCTTTACATCAAAGGTGAACATGGAAGAGCGCAGCTCCACAAATTCACACGCACCAGTCCTGGGGGAAAGGCATGTGAATTCTTCATGAGGCTGACCTGATTCCCGGCTGCTCCCTCGCCTCCTGTATCTGGGGCTCATTTCCCATCGTGTCGTCTTCATTTTAGCATGAAGTTCGTTCTCTTGTATTGAGTGTTTTGTTTGTTTCTGGTGGCTATGTCCCATTCGCAGGCGTTCCGGCGATGGGAGCCAAGCAGTCGGCGGTTGGCAGCGTTCCCTTGAGTCATTCGCCCACTCTGAAGAACATCCAAGAGGCCTATACGGACGGCGAGGACCAGAGGGCACGCGAGCTAATCCGGCTTTCCTGCGAGAATAACAGCGGAGCAGGACCAGATGGGGTGAGTTTGATCATTCGCTCACTTTATACTCTCATTTTTGACTGAACATTCACATAAGCACTGAAGTGAAGCGGGTGCATTGTGCATGCAGTTCACCTGCTGACGGACCAGCATATGTTGTGTTTTGGAAGCTGTTATGGGGGTTTGGCAGCAGACGGGATTTTTGTGGCAACATCAAAACATTTCTCAGTCCTGTCCAGAGCATGATGGCCAGGTGGGCGTCCCATAATGCGTTACTACAAGCTCTGTGGGAAAAAAAAAGCATCCACAATATATTATGATGCATGCAATATTGAAAAGTATTGCTGAAAATAGTTAAATGAAATTTGCTGCTTGTGTAAAACTCATCAAAATGAGAATTGAAATACAATATCGAACCAGTTTTGGTTACACATTGTAAGTGGCCACATACACACTGTAAAGTTTCAGTGACAATCGCTTTCAAATACAGGAGTGAATTCCCTAAATTACAGTTGTGTGTGTGTGTGCAGAACAGAATTCGACTTAAGTCTAATGAATTTGTCTGTCTTATTTTTTAAGACGTAACTTTACCCATGTAAAGTTACGTCTTTGGGGCATGACTTTTTTTGGGGGCATGGATTGTGTGACTCTCCTTGAGTTTATCTCTATTTCTCAACGCCAAGCTTAAACTACATATCAATCAGTTATGCAACACATCTCATTTTTGCATTATTGGCTGATATGCTAAATAAAGCATATCCGTTTAAGCAAATCAAGTCACTTTACCTGTAAACGCGGTTGTTGACTCGTCTCTCTTCAAGATGCAGTGCCGTAATGGAAGTCTTGCATACACAAGATGAATATCAGTGAATCCGATATCACAAAACCGATATCCGATAATGGAAAAATGCTTTAATATCGGTAAAAATATCGGTAAAACCAAATATCGGTCATACTCTAGTTTGGATTTAAGTTTACTATAGGCTTGTTCTTATTTGCTGTTTTTTATAGCGAGATCTGGCAACACGAATGAATCCAGATGTACCTCGTTCCCTGTCATTTCCTGCACCACAACTCTGATATGCATTTACATATGTCGTTAACATTTAGTTGTTCAGTTCGGTTCCATACACACTGTGTAGAATTTCTATAAATGAGGTTGTTAATACCTATATTTTCAGGAGTTAATTCGATTGTAGAATGCAGTCACTTCTGTAAATTACTGAAGTGTTTGTGTAGAGAACAGGATTCAGCAATAAAAGGTGAATTGACACCTGAATTTATCTTGTGTACGTGGCCAGTAAGTAGTCTATTAGCAGACACTATTATAAAAATGTTTTTTTATTTTAACAGTAAAAGACTGTAAAAATCCTATGATAAAAACTGTCAGTTGGTTAACAGTGAGTTTCTGTAAACTGTAATGGATCTAATCGTACATATCATGTAAATTAAAAAATGTATAGTTTTTGGAAGTGAAAAACAGGAAGTCATCTTAGAGTTTACCAGTGTTTGTATTTGTATGTATAACACCATGTGCACCTTTTATATATTAGTATTTACCTCAGCTTAAAAGCTATTTGTGTTCGAAAATTCATCATGTGACTTTTTCTTTACCACCTGTGTTTTTAAGGTGGTTGTCCATATAGGATAATAAAGGTTTAGTATATAAACATTATTTTACTGTAAATGTATGTTCAATCTGTAAAACGTAACATTTTGCTACCATTTTTTTTTACAGTAAAGTTCTGGCAACCACAGCTGCCATTTTTATTTTGCTGTGTATTTCACATAGAGTTGCTTGTAAATTGTGGATGGTTGCCAGGTTGGTGCTTTGTTGTAAAGAAGCACCTGTGCACTTACAAATGCAATAACACATAGTTCACAACAAGTAGCTCAAACAATAGATCATGCCACTGGCAATGCCGAAATCATGGGTTTTTTGATAAAATTATAAATTTGAACTGATGAAATGTGCAACTTAAATTCAATACAAGTTGCTTTGGATTAAAGTGCCAAATATAAATGTAAATATTGTGATGCCAAAGTCATGGGTTCAATTACCAGGGAATGCATGAACTGATAAAATGCATCTTCCATGTGCATGAATATAAATGTAAGTGCATGATTTGAGGTACAGTATGAGCTTGAAGCTAACAGTGTACAGTAAATTATGCACCAAAGTTTAAAGGGAAGAAGATATCTTAAAGAATGCGGGTAGCCAAGCACTTGCTGGCAGCCATTGACTTCCATAGTTTGGAAAATAATACTATACTATGGAAGTCAATGGGAACAGTCAACTGTTTAATTTCCCACATTCTTCAAGATATCATCTTTTATGTGCAACAGAAGAAAGAAAACTCATAAAAGTTTTGGAACAACCTGAGAGTGAGTAAATGATAACAACATTTTCATTTTTGGGTGAACCATCCCTTAAATGCTAAGGATTAGGTTTTTGTTCTAATGATTAACCCTAAGAATGAGCAATAGTCAAGTATCCGGCTTGGCTAAGTATAAGATTGCATGAGCTTTTCTGATCTGCATCAGCAGGGGAAGCGTGCACTGAAAGCATGCTTGTGAAACCCTTGATACTTCTCACATACACACACACAATACTGTGCTAAAAGGAAGGCAGAGCCTTTTAACAAGTATTGAATATCACAGCTTTTTTCTCACTTGCTTCTCTCAGTTTTCACCTTCATGCTTGATGTGTAAAAAAAAATACAGTGCACGCATTAATTATGTGCTTTTTAAAACAGTAGAAACCCATTATGGACCTGCCATAGACTCAAAACACTACAATGGCTTGTGTTTACAGTCTGTGATGCTGATAAGTGGATGGTGTTCTGTTATGGTTTTAACATTAAAACATGTTTTGGCCTGTAAATCTGCTCTAGTGGTCTGTATGGACGTAATATTGAATATAAAATGGAAAAAAAAACAGCAACAAAACCAGCTCAAATCATTTGAATACGATGAGGCTTTTGCTCTGGATTTAGAGGTGTATCATTGTGTATAATTTCTTCTAAACAAAAGTACTTCCTCCTGTCACAGCTTAATATGCAGAAATAACATGAACCATTTACATGTTTATTTCCCTGTTGTGTAAACACTGTGACACTGATCTGTTTGTTTGAACCACCTGACTATGTTAAGATTTGGCTCATCCAATGACGTGAGTTCGAGGCGGGACTATCTGTTTAACCCGACCAATGGCAGAGTGTTTGGATTTAAAACTGTCATTATGTTGGTTCCTATGGTTTTTATGGTTAGCAACCATTGAGAACACCTTAACAACCACCTTCCTAGCAATCAGAAGACATTTGCAACAGCATATTGGAATGATTTCTGAAGGGTCATGTGACTGAAGACAGCAGTAATGATGCTGAAAATTCAGCTTTGCGTCACAGGAATAAATTACATTTTACAATATATTCATATACAAAAATACTTTTTAAATTCTATTAATATTTTACCATTTTTTTGGCTGTATTTTAGATCAAATAAATGCAGCTTTGATGAGCATAAGAGACTTCTTTCAAAAACATTAAAAAAAATCCCAACATTTTATTTTATTTTTAATGCGAGGCAGAAAGATTAATTATAAGGCGTGTTTGTTTCTTGAAAGGCTTTGTTCACAATAAGGTGATTACAGATGACATGACAGCGTGTGGTCAGTGAGTGTGCAGAGATATTCCTCTGTAAATACTGTTACAGGTCTCTAATGAGGCCATGAGTGATTGATGATGTGACTGTAATGGCTCCTAACCGGCCATCAGTTAACAAACCCACATCTGATCCTCTGCTTCTGCTTCCACACTCATCACATTAGTCCCGTTCAATTGCTGCTTCAGTGGCCTCAGAGATTAGAAATGTGTGCAAATATTATGTTTCAGATATTTCTGTGTGTTACTGTAAAACACGTGGGCTACATTCAGAATGAAATACTGCATACTGAGCAGTGTACACTACTTATTGTTTTTTTTTAAATAGTATGTTAAACATTGTTGTCACATGATTTTTTTGTACTGGTTAATTCAGAAATTGACATACATAAAATGGTTATTTATTTTTATTCATTTAGCTGACATCATCTATCCAAAGCAACTTAAAAAATGACGAATAAACGAAAACGAAGTTAATCAAATAATGGCTTAAAATATTAAGAAGAAAATATTCAAATAAATCACACTTGATGTAACTTATGAAGTATAAAAGTTATTTTATTTTGATTTTATATGTAAATAACATTTTTAATTTTAGAATTATATTTATTTATTATATTTTATATATTTATTTTTATGCTTTATATAGAAGTTATTTTCATTGTGTGTTTTAGGGCTGCCCCCCTAATAGTCGACTAAACATTAGAAGAGGCTTAGTCGACAACATTTTTATTAGACAGTTAGTTGCAAAAAAAAAAAATGTCTGTGTCCATAACGGGCAGGAACACCAAACGTTCACTTATCATTCATCAACCTCAAATATGGCTTATCACTGCAAAACATGCAAGTAGTAGCAACTTTACACGACCGTTTGCTCTAAGATAAATGTGCGTTAGTAGGCGCATATCCAAGTGTTTGTGTGGAGAGAGGAAAGCTGTTAGCACGAATACTGCATGTTGGCATTTTTGCTGATAACAGTGGAAACAAAATATGCCGTTATTTTTGCTCAGATAAGAGTAATGCATTATTCAAAACTGTCAGGGGTCTGCTTTTATTTGTATACACTCACAATATCAAGAAGACCATGTGCTTTTGTAAAATAAAGAAAACAAACAGCACTTTCTGCCGTTTCTGTCTCCGTGCACTAGAGCGCGGCGAAACTCTGCGTATAGGCAAAATACAAATAATCTCTGATTGTGTAATCCATATGAAAGGTGCATTTCTCTCTGACGAATCCGCATCCACTTCATCTTTGCAGCTGACACACTGACGGAGGAAACACTAGTTTATTAATAAATAAGTAAAATATCTTCTTGCTGTTTTTCACCACACATTCATAGACTTTACTTTTTGCCGGTGCTTTGTGGCATGCTTTATGTGTGCGCTCGAATGCAGAATAGGCTATATGATAAAAGCTCATTATGGTTAAGTTCCCCACCCCTAGTATATATTTCATTCATTAAATTAATATAAATGCGTGATTAGGTGACTGCCTTTAGTGGGAGGCAGCGCTAATGTATTTATTATCTTTGCATTTTGCATACTTTTACATATTTTCTTCTTTTTAAAGCTTTAAATAGAATTTGATATCAGTACTGCGATACTTGTTTGAAAAGCTGCTTTGAAAGTGTACTTCTTGTAAACACTGTGTAAAAGTAACTGTATGATAATAAAAAAATATGCATTCTGCATACAGTTTGCAAACTGCAGAAATAGCAGTCGAAATAGTCTTGCACTTACTTCTAACCCCGATTCAGAGACTCTGAGAGATCGGTGGGGAAAAAAGGATTATTTTAGTGTCTGTAGGCCACAGCGAGTCTGTACAAGAATGAGGAAGTGCATACTCGCATTTAAACAGCTGTTTTGTCTGAAATTAAATCATGATTTAGAAGTGAATGACTATGTTTGAAATATAATACTAGCCATATGCCTCTTACTATAACCAGCTGCATTTGTCTAAATATACAGTGTGCATCCAGGGCAAACTTGAATGAAAACGGTATCCCCCAATGCAGTGCTCGACATGAGCTTTCATTTCCAGTGTAACGAATGAATGAATGAATTAATGAATGAATGAATGAAGCATGTTTGCTTATTTTTGAAGCATACATTTGGACTGTTAAAAGGTAAAGTAATTTGACACAAAAGAGGATGAAAATGCAAAATGACCAATTCAATTTTGAAACTTGCTGAATATGTAATGAGGTCACGTGACCTTACTGTAGCATACTACTGTTTAAAATGCTGTTTCACATAGTAGTTGAAAACAAAACAGTATTCAGTAATCATTAAGGAATTGCTTTCTCAACATAGCCAGGTAAACACCAGGTTCATTATGGACAACATGAATTTATATGTAAACATTAATCAAATATTCTCACAGTGCATCTACACTACAGTTTTTAGCTGTAATTATATTTTTTAGTTATGCACTAAATCAGTAATATGCTACCATTGAAATGTTTGGGATCAGTAAGATTTATTTTAATACTATAATTTTTTTATTAATACTTTTATTCATCAAAAGTGCAATAAATAGATCAAAAGTGAAAGTAAACATGTTTAAAATGTTACAATAGGTTTCTATTTTAAATAGGATTTTTAGAATTAATTTTTTTAGAATTTGTTTCCAGTATATGAAAAATATGAAGCAGCTCAACTGTTTTCAACGTTGATAATAATCAGAAATGTTTCTTGAGCAGCAAATTAGCATATTAGTATGATTTCTGAAAGATCATGTGACACTAAAGACTGGAGCGATGATGCTGGAAATTCAGCTTTGATCACAGAAATAAATTACATTTTATAATATATTGCAATAGAAAACATTTATTTTAAATTGTAATAAGTTTTTACAATTTCTCTGTTTTTACTGTATTTTTGATCAAATAAATGCAGCCTTGGTGAGCAGAAGAGACTTCTTTTAAAAACAAAAAAATCTAATCTATTCAGTCCGTGGAATGTCATTTGAGAAGGTGAATTACTGCCACCTAGTGTTGATTTCTCTGTAACCAGACGTGGTTTCACACAATCCACAGATTTTCCAGTATGTGGGACAAACAAGCCTGCAGAAGTGCAAAAATATTATAATAAAGTTTTTTCCCACCTTGTTTTTCATTGCAATGTCAGGTAGAAACCTGCCATGCCATATATTTACTGTAAATATGAACAAATCTAGCATCTGTTTTGATTAAGAAGAACTGATATTACAGGATGATTTAAACTGCTTTAACTCTTTTCCTGAAGACAGTCTGTGTGTTTGTGTGTGTAGGTGCAGCTCCTCTGTTTGGTGGCTCAGAACGGTGACTTGGACGGCATTCGGTTCTTGCTGCAGGAAGCTCGAGTTACGGTTCCACAGGAGCCCAGCGAAGAAAACCCTGCCGTCTTAGCAGCACATCACGGACATCAGCTGTTGGTCCGAGAGCTGCTGGACTCCATACCACGTGAGCGCAAACCAAATCCACTGTCCTTAAAGTCAACGTGCAATCAAAATGTACATTCTTAACAGCATAGTTCAACCAAAAATTTAAATTTGCTTAAAAGTTAGTGTAGATGTGAAATGTAGCATTGCATCATTTGCTCACCAGTGGATCCTCTGCAGTGAATGGGTGCCGTCAGAACGAGAGTCCAAACAGCTGATAAAAACATCACAATAATCCACAAGTAATCCACACCACTCCAGTCCAGCAGTTTTAACTTTTACGTTATACGTTTACAATGTTTTAACTTTAAACTGTCACTTCTTCTGGCCAAAATATGAGTCCATAATCCTTAATAACATGTCCAGTGAAAAAGTCCTACTCTTGTTGTCCTCTCACATCAAAATCCACCAACAGTTTGTTTAGAACTGTTTTGGCTCGTAAACGGTGCTTGATCTCTGCATATTTCTCTCCTGATTCAGACGAGATGACATTTTCACTGGAGAAAGTGCTGTTATGGATTATGGATTTTTAGCCGGAAGCAACAGTTTGAAGTTAAAAATGTCTCAATGATGAATTTGTTTCTCACAAAAGCACAGCTTTTCACTTCTCAAGACATTAACTGATGGACTGGAGTGGTGTGGTTTACTTGTGGATTATTGTGATGTTTTTATCAGCTCTCATTCTGACGGCACCCATTCACTGCAGAGGATCCACTGGTGAGCAAATGATGCAATGCTACGTTTCTCCAAATCAGTTCCCATGAAGAAACAAACTCATCTACATCTTCGATGGCCTGAGGATGAGTACATTTTCAGCAAATTTTCAAGTGGTCCTTTAATGCATATTCCAGGTCTTATTATACATGATTCATTGGTGCATGTTATTCCAGAGACCAAAAAACTGTGTTTGTCAGTTTTATATTTCACATGTTAAAATATAGTACTTTTCTCCACTTCGGAAACGACTCTTTTTCATTAGGTCCGTGTGTCCGTAAGGATTTGCTGAACTGGATGTTGGCTACGGCGTGTCAGCAGGGTCATCTAGAGGTGGTGAAGCTGCTGGTTCATACGTACAATGCTGACGCCGAGGACTGCGCTGTTCATTCAGGAGAGTTTGCCATCATCACCGGTTTGCCCCTGTACGCCGCAGCACAGGCAGGTACTGTAGGCTTCTGCTCATCACATACTTCTCATTATTACTGCAGAGAATGTCTGTTAAACTATAAGGCAATAATGCATGACATTTGGGAAGGACTAAATATGTATTCACACCAGGAGCAAATATTGGCATACATTTTCTGAATCGATTCCTTCAGGGCTCATTCACACCAATTTGATTGCATTCTTATGCTTTTTAAATGTCACTTTTGATGTGAATCACTGAGGGAACACTTTTACTGTAAGGTTTCATTTGTTAACATTAGTTATCCATGTAGGGCCCCGTGATTTCCAGACGGCATTGTTTAGTTCAACTTAATGAAATTTTGACAGAAATATATTACTATTTATAATAATTGTTAAGCAGCACATTATTTGACCAAAACTACAAATGCATTATATTTAATTTGTATTATTTTAAAAGAAACTGATCGTTTTTTAATTCAATTGATTAAACATGCTTTTTGATCATTAATTATTTATTTTTATTGTAAAATATTTTAAGCATTTAAGCATTTATTTAAAACGTGGAGGAAAAAATAAGACATTTCATATAAACTGACCTATGTTAGTTAACATGAACAATGAGCAATACTTCTACAACATTTATTAATCTTCATGTTAAATTCAACATTAACTAATACATTTTTAAACTCAAAAGTTATAGCTGTTAACATTAATAATGCACCAACATGAACTCAATGAACAAATAATTTTTTATTAAATAACATTAACAAAGATTAATACTGTAAACGAAATGCTGCTCTTGTTAGTTGATTTTAGCTAATGTTAACAAATGAGAACTGAGTGTAAACTTTTACCAAAATGTGACATTTTTCAGATAAAGGTGTAAATACATAAACAAAATTATCAGTGATATGTTACTTTAAAATTTGTACTAACTTTTCTCTCAGCTGAACACCTCTGAATATATGTGAAACGACCCTGAGATTTTAAGAGAATATTTCAGTCATTTAATGTTTTTGCTTGTTTGAAGCTCTCTAATGTAGGTTAATGGTCACATGACATGAAAGCAATCAAATAAAATTGTCTTTTTTTATATATTTTTATATATTTTTATTTTTTTTATTTAATAATTTTAATGAATTATTACCTTAATGATTTATTGAGGTTGAGGTTAAGGTTGATTTATGAATTATTACCTTTAATGAATTATGATCAACTCCCAAACCCCAGTTTTGGGAACCCTGGTCTAGTTTTATTGAATTTCTTAAAGTGATGGATGTGATTTGGTTTGACCAGTAATGAGGACATTTATTAACTGACTGACTGAACTAGTTAAGCTTTATCATCCTGAACTGTACACTGGTCCTGAAAAGTGACAGCAGGGGAATTTTGATCATGTTTTCCCGCTTTGCTCCAGCACACACATGCACTTCCTCACTTCCTCTTTCAGCGCGGAGGTGTGGAGAAATAAAGTGAAAGCTCTTCCTGCTCTAACTGAAGCTGGTTTTCTCCTCAGCAAATAAGGAGGTCGCGTGTTTTCTGCTGGACAATGGAGCCGGTTTCTCCTCGTACACGCTGATGGATCACGCAGACTTCAGCAGGCAGCTGCTCAGACAGCGCCACCTGCAGGACAAAGACGCTCCTGCGGACGGGACGCTGCTGCAGGTGAGACTCATCCCGCTGAATTGTTTTAAGGTCAGCGCTGGGCTCGTGAACAGTGCTGCGGCTTCATTTTACGGAAGTTTTAGCGCCAGTTCCTCTTTATAAATGTATTCAGGACCCGACTTCATACCTGTGCATAAACACTGACAAATAACATCAAAATCACAGTAAAAGGAGAATAATGTGTATTAGAGGAGCTGGTGTGCGGTTCCTGTGGTGTAAGAATAATTGATTTTTAAAACTTAATAACATTAATAAAAGGAGTTAAATTGAACTAAATTCATGCAATTCGATTCTCAGTTCATTTGAGCTTATAAAAACCAGCATGTGTAAAAAATTATGCAAGAAGTGTGTTTAAATGATGTCTAGTCACTATGCTTCACATCCTCCTGGAAAGTTCCTGCTTATGAGTTTGGAATTTTTACATTGACTCTATTCATTTCTTTACAAACACAAAGATTTTTAGCACTAGTTCAACAATATTTTATTGCTGTGCATTGTTATTGACTTTATTGTGGTGGCTAAATAAAGCAATAAGCCCCAAGAAGCCGTGGTTTACGGTGAATTTATAACAGCTAAGGGGCGTTGTTAGGCACGACGCGAAGCAACAAGCACGGGGCTTATTGCTTTTATAAAACGGTTATTCCATATACGTAGTAAAGTTTCACAAAATAAAACAGAGCAAATAAAGTGTAATGATATTAATAAAAACAGCATTCTTCCACCAAACAATGTAGTTCCTCAGAAACAGTTGTGGTTTCAACAAAGTGTGTTATTTTGGATTTTTTTTTTATTAATTATACATTACATTATTCTGTACTAGTGATTATATATGTATGTGTGTTATTCTGTATTTTTTATTTTGATCATTTTATTAATTACACATTATATTATTTTATATTCCTCTTTATTATTGCTAAACTGTACAATTTAGTGTTTAAACATTTTGTGTCATGTCAGCATTTACAGCAGTGATCGACACTAATGTTTGTCTACGAGGATTGTTTAATCATGACATCTTTAACTCGATGTCAGGAAACTCAGGCTGTGCATGTTGACTGGTCCGGACTGAAGCTGCCCTGGTTGGATCTGGACTGGTTCATGGACGTGTCGTCTCGGATCACGGTTCTGGATCTGTCTCGTAACTGTCTGAGCTCACTGCCGTCTGTGGTGCCCTGGGGTCTGATTCATCTGTGCTCGCTCAACCTGTGCCACAATCAGCTGCGAGAGCTGCCCACCCCGACCTCATCGCAGGAGATCATCTGCAGCCGGTCTGTAACGCCTCTATACACCTTTCACAATCCTTCTGACCGTTCACATGCCACACACAGATATAATCAGGGTCAGAAAACGTGAAAAACATCTGTAGATACTGTCAGGGACATTACTGATGGTGATCGGCTCCATGGTGTTCGTCTCTTGCTGATATGTCCTCTTTTGCCCGTGTTTTCTGTAGATTGTCCCATGTGAATGTGTGTGAGAATGAGCTGGAGTGTCTTCCTGTCGGTCTGCTTCATCTCGGCCAGTTGAAGAGGATTTATGTAGCCAGAAACAAACTCATCAGCCTCTTCAACATCCCTAATGGTACACACACTCTGTCGGCTCCTCACATCCTCCTACCAGGGGTGGATCTTTGCATAAACGATAAAGACAGCGTTTTCTGTACTGTGGCATCAGCTCTATCACTCCTCTACAGCAGTTTGACAGCAGTCCTCCCGCTCTCCATCCCACCCACTTCTCTCAATAACAATGAATTCATTCGTGTGTGTGTGTGTAAACGTTGTAAAAATGTCAAATATTAATATAAATGTTTTAAAAATGTAAATTAAACGGTTTTTTTTAATGTTTAAAAACATACATTTATGTGTGTATAATGAATTGTATAGATTTTTAATTATCACTATATTAATATATTTAGTCAAATTTTATATATGATAATAAGCAATAATAATTGGTACTAATAATAATACATGATTAAGTTTTATAAAAAAAAAATGTTTTAAGCATTCCCAAAATATAAAATATAATTCCTGAATATTTAAAAAAAAATGTTTTATCTTTTTTTGGGCCTCTGTAGTAAACACTTGATTTTGCTCTGTTATTTTATGTTTTATGCAATAAACACAGCAAGTACGCTTGCTTTGTTCCTCTTTTGTTTGTCGCTTTAGATAAAGGCATCTGCTTAATGTGTGTATGTAAATGCTCACGGTTACTCGGACCGGTTGTTCAGCGGTTCGTGTTTTTTAAGTGGTTATCATCACAGATCTGTATTAGCATGACAGCGCTAACAGCCGGCGTTCTGCTGCAGGCACGAACTGGATCGGCCTCCGTAAGCTGCAGGAGCTGGACGTGTCCGACAACAGCCTGACGGACCTGCCCTCCTCCATCCTGCACTGTCTGAAGGCCCTCAGCTCTCTCAACATCAGCAGAAACAAACTCAGCAGCTTCCCCGACCCCTGGGCCTGTCCTCTGGTGGGTCGTCGGCACAGACACGTCCTTCATGTGATCACATACGTTCAGTGCTGTCTGCCGGCCTCGATAATCAACATATACTTAAATGAAGGGTCATAAGCAAAGCATATTATACATGAAACATTATGATGCCTCTACAAGACAAATATGCATCAATTTCAACCACATCTGATGTGATTGGGTTAAATGAATGCCATGTATTATCAGTGAATAGCTTGGTATTTTTTGTCAACATATGATGATTATCAGAGATAATTTTCCCCACAGAACATCTGCAAAGCTTCAAGCAACCAGATAGAGTTCCTTCCTGACACCATCTCCATCTTCTGGAAGACTCATCTGATGGAGGTGGACATCTCCGAGAACGTCCTGAAGGAGCTGCCCTCATACATATTTGAGCTAGAGGTAAGGAACAGGAGGAAATGTGCTGAAATCACAAGAATTAAAATAAGATACAACATTTTGACCAAAGAGATTACACATGTGTCTGGATGTTGTACTTTATAGTGTTTTTTTTTTCTTTCCTAAATCGGCAATTATTTTTCTCAATCTTCTCAATGCTATTATTCTCATTAATTGCATTACTGTAATAAAGAAATGTTTTTTTTTTAAGCTTTATTTTAAAATAAAATAAAAATGTAATAATGAAAAATTAAATAATTATTTTAATTTTATTAAAGGTTTTAATAAAAAACATTTTTTGCTTTGTCATAATGGGAGTTCACAGGAGGAAATGTGCTGAAATCACAAGAAATTCTAATATTTTGACCAAAGAAAAATAATTATGCATGAGTCTATGAAGAGTCTATAAAGTTTATGTTGTACTTTAAAGTTTTTTTTCTTAATGCCCATTATTCTCAATAATCTGAATGTCATTATTCTCATTAATCACATTGCTGTAATAAGTCTATTATGTTTGTTATTATTATTATTAATTTTAATAAAAAATAAAATAATACATTTTTATAATTAAAAAATAAACAATTATTTATTTAAAAAAAAACTTTTTTTACTTCTAACATAGTGTTTTTTTATTTATTTAAATCCGCATAAGCAATACTTTATATTTCAATTAATGTTTTTTTTTTTCATTGTGGTAATGAGATTTTACAGGAATGTCACAATGTTAAAAAACAAAATTTCAATTCTTTCTTCAGAAATATTGTGAAATATGGTCATCAGGCGTGTTTTTGACAGGTTTTTGTAAGATTCTCCCACTAATATTTTTCCTGGTCAAATCCTTTAATTCACTAAGAAAGAGTTTGGTTTTTTATATATTTTTTAAATATATTTTTATATGGAATTGTATATTTGAACTAGCAGCACTCAGTCCACCAGTTTCATATTGTCTTGAGCTCATGGTGGCGCTGTGCTCACAGTAAACGTCACCTGCAGCACATCTGAACTTATCTCCTCATGATAGACACCACTGAATCAGGGAATAACTTCAGCTTTAATAATAATAGCTTTTTACACGAATAAGCCAAAAGGCTCCAAGTGTGTCGTGAAGTGTTTACAAACGTACGGCTGAGCAGCTCAGACAGGATTTTATAGTTGTTGAGTTTTCATGAACTTCACTGTCAGTTTCGCAAGTTAACTGGCAAGATGTCAACACAAAGCCAAAGGCAGAGAGAGAAATAGAGATTGCAAACTAGAAAAAAGAAAGCGTAAGAAGGGAAACGGGAGTTTCGTCATTCAAAATTCAATTTAATGCTCAAACAGTTTGACTTGAAAATCTGTGCTCTTTTAAACAGCAGAAGGCGATGATTACACCGGGAAGAACGAGTCAAAACTGACTATGTGTTATAGATTGCATAGACTTACATAGTATTTTATTTTAGTTTAGTTTATATTATTATTTATTTTTAGATTTTGTTGTTTTTTTTCTCATTTTATTTTATTTATTTTTTATTTAATAATTTTATTTTTTGCTTTTTTTTTTACTTTATTTTGTTTTATATTTTTTGTTTTATTTTTATTTAATTATTTAACTTTATTATTTTGTTGTTGGATTTATTTTATCTTATTTTGTTGTCTTATTTATTTTATTTTATGTTTTTCTTTTATTATTATTTTAATTTAGTTTTTATTTTTAATTTTATTTGTAGTCATTTGAGAGTATAAAGTAGGGGCGTTACTAATTTACTAAGTAAATACTAATCTAATAGTCAAAAATATTTTTTTCTGATAATATTTCTGCAATCATGTGTTTTGTCTGCTATTTAGAATCAGAACTGATGCCAGATTTACAAATAAATCACACTTTTTATCTAATCTGACGAACAGGTTTGCAAAAAGCTCTGAATTTGTTTGCGCTTCATTTTGATTCATTCTGACAGTTCACTCCCGCACTCCTCATGATTTCTTTTCACAGACTCTTCAACGATTTCTCACACCGAAATACTTTATAAGACAGAAAACTAAAAATATCTACCTGAAATCCATTGTAGAAAACTAAACCTGCATATGTCTTTTATCATTCGTCAGCAATGAAGCAATAAAACTCTTTACATAACAGATAAATGTCTCATATGTGCTAATAACAGTAATAAGTCCACACTTGCGAGATGACTTAAAGTAGCAGTGAGTGCAGGCTCATGTTTGTAGCTGCAGGTGTGTGTGTCACTGAGATCACTGTGTGTGTTTTAGGCCATCATCTCTCTGAAGTTGTGTGGGAACCAAATCTCCACTCTGCCCTCTCCAAACAAATGGAAATGCTCTTGTCTGCGAACACTAGACCTGTCCAGAAACCAACTGGGGAAGTAGGTCAAACACACACGCACATGTAAATGTATATATATATACATTTACATGTGTGTGTGTGTGTCTATATATTTACATGTGTGTGTGTGTGTATATATATACACACACGCACACATGTAAATGAATATACGCACACACACACACACGTACATGTGTATATATATATACACATGTACGTGTGTGTGTGTGTGCGTATATTCATTTACATGTGTGCGTGTGTGTATATATATACACACACGCACACATGTAAATGAATATACGCACACACACACACACGTACATGTGTATATATATATACACATGTACGTGTGTGTGTGTGTGCGTATATTCATTTACATGTGTGCGTGTGTGTATATATATACACACACACACACACACACACACACACACACATGTAAATGAACATATATACACACATATACACCCACACACACAGACACACACAAACACAGAAAGGCTCGGTTCCAAAACCTAGGGAGCCTACATAGGCAGCATTTCAATGCATCTTAAGCACACTCCCAATCTGAAGGCTGTTTGTTATTATGCCTTCTACAGAAACCTCTTTTGGGCAATGCTAACCATGTGAAACTAATAAGCATAAAAATAGGTCAAAATGTAATTTTTTAAATACATTGAACTATTGCTAGATACTTTTTTCTGTATTTTGCACATTATGTATAAAGAGCTTGCCTTCTCTGCAAAGGGTACATGTGATGCTGCTTTATAATTTATTTGCATAACACTATTCACCTTATTTAATTTAATTTAATTTTAGTTTAGTTTAGTTTAGTTTATTCCTTATTATTATTATTATTAATAATAATAATGATATTAATTTGTTTACTATTGTGTTGTTTTATTATTAATAATAATTGTATTTTGTTTTTATTCATATTATATATATTTTTTTAATACGTAAATTTATACACACACACACACACACATGTAAATGTATATACACAGACAAACACAAACACACACATGTAAATGTATATATACACACACACACACACATCATGTGATGCTGCTTTATAATTTATTTGCATAACACTATTCACCTTATTTAATTTAATTTAATTTTAGTTTAGTTTAGTTTAGTTTATTCCTTATTATTATTATTATTAATAATAATAATGATATTAATTTGTTTACTATTGTGTTGTTTTATTATTAATAATAATTGTATTTTGTTTTTATTCATATTATATATATTTTTTTAATATATTTGTAATAATTAGTTAATTGTATTATTATTATTATTATTATTATAAATGTTTTTATTTTATTTTGTTTTTATTTTATTATTGATTTTATATTATTTTGTTGTTGCTTTTATTTGTTTTTGTTTTTTTTTACAGTTTTTTTTATTTTTTATCTTTTTTATTTATTTATTTTGTTATTATTTTCTTGTTTTATTTTGTGTGCTGTTTTCTTTTGGACAGTGCTAATACTGAGAAACTCAAATCGTAAAATCGAGGTAAAATTGTCCATTTTAGGTACATTGCTAGATATATTTTCTGTGTTGTGCTTGTAATGCATTATGGAATTGCCTTCTTAGCAAAGAATACTTGTAATGCTGTCTTGTAATTTGGCTAAAAACATATCTTAGAAAGCAGCATAATTATGTTGCCTACATTTTGGTACATATTTTTGGGGCCTTAAAATGGCATGTGTCTTCATTGCTCTTCTAGTTCGCTAGTACATCATCACGGTCCTTGTGGTTGTATATAGAGATTGTGAATGACAGACTGTGAATATCTGAAATCGAATGCTCTCTGAATGTTATTTTAGGACGGGAGAGCCGACCAAAACCAGGAAACTGGCCTTCTTCACTACATGGCACAGACGAGACCCAGAGCCAGGTACAGTTCACTCAAACACTGCGGTCACGTTGCCATGACCTGTCTGTTTCACACTGTAATTACCAAACTCACCACAGAGAAAGCAGAGTAATATCACCATGGTAATCATGTTTTGTTGAGACTGTGTGGATTGTTTTAATGGCATCAGAATCTAAACTAAAACCCTTTCAGACGGATCCAAAAGTCTGACTCATATTAGACTTTTAAGTGTTTTTAGGCAATAAGGCGGGCAGTCACAGTCATTTTTGCTCGTGATTCAACAAAATGCACACTACTGTTCAAAAGAAATTTATATTTTTACTCCGCAAAGATGCATTACGTTGATCAAGAAAGACTAAATAAATGTGTTCTTTTGAACTTCTTTTCATTTAAGGATCCTGAACAAAATTGTATCACGGTTTCCACAAAATATTAAGCTGTTTTCAACACTGATAATAATCAATAATGTTTCTTGAGCATTAAATCAGCATATTAGAATGATTTCTGAAGGATCATGTGACACCGAAGACTGGAGTAATGATGCTGAAAATTCAGCTTTGATCACAGGAATAAATTACATCTTAAAATATATTCAAATAGAAAACAGCTATTTTAAATTGTAATAATATTTCACAGTATTTCTGTTTTTACTGTATTGTTGATCAAATGCAGCCTTGCTGAGCAGAAAAGATTTCTTTCAAAAACATTTAAAATCTTACTTATCCCAAACTTTTGCAGTTTATTATTATTGTTATTTATTAAATTATTTGTAATTTTTTATATTTTTTTTTATTTTAGTCAGTGTATATACAGTATATATATATATATATATATATATATATATTTGTGTGTGTTTTATTTTGTGTTTTATTTCTTTTGGAAAATGCTAATGCTGTGAAACTCTAATAAGCATAGAAATAGATAAAACGGAGGGAAACTAATCCACTATAGGTTCAGATGCTTTTTCTTCATTGTGAATATTATGCATTATGGGATTGCCTTCTCTGCAAAGATTTTATATTATATATTATATCTCTTTTTATCACTTTATGGATGCAACTATAATTAAGGGTTTTTGTTAAATATTAATGCAAAGCTGCTCTGATGGCCGTGCAAATATGGACACGTTTCTACTGTCTCGTAGTAGGCCTACAGTCATCAGTGACCATCCATTCGTCTCCAGAGATTTGATTTCTATGTTATGTGGTTTTGATGAAGTTCTCATCTCCTCTGGCTCTCTTTTGGCAGTTTGTCCCATTCAGTTTCCAGTAATCCTGCGGGATTCTCTGGAAGTTCTCTTCCTGAATGACAACCAGCTGGAGTGTGTGCCGCCGTCAGTATGTGCCCTCAAGAACCTCTCCGAACTCTATCTGTCCAAGTGAGTCGCAGGGAATCATGGGAAATGGAGTTCTTCATTTTTTCCACTTTATTACACGTCTCTTAGGAATACCTGATTGTGATTGGTCAATCGCAGCATTCAGATATTATTTTTGATATAAACATTAGATAAGAAACTTTTTTAGGTAGTTACCAAGGAATAATTTCAAATTTCTAAATTACTAAAACTTAATTAAATCAAATCACTCTTTCTTTTCGCATAATAAAATAAATGTTAATTTATTAATTATAATGATTTCTGAAGGATCATGTGACTCTGAAGACTGGAGGAATGATGCTGAAAATACAGCTTTGATCACAGGAATAAATTACATCTTAAAATATATTCAAATAGAAAGCAATTATTTGAAATTTTAGTAATATAAAAATATAAAAAATTCAATCAAATCACTCTTTCTTCTCACATAATAAAATAAATCTTCATTAGTTATTTATTTGAATGATTTTATATATTTTTTATAATGTATAATGTCATTTATTAAAACCATTATGACAATCATGCATTCTGACAAGCTCAGTAAAATTGGTGCATAGAGAAATCAAAATTATAAATATATAATCGTAATTGTAATGTTGTTCATATGTAATTCTTACTCTATTTTAACTAAAAATAAAGTTTTAAAAATAGTACAATAATTTATACAATAGGTTTTTATTAAATTAAAATTAAAATGTCAAAAGTACATATCAAAATTACTAAATTACAAAAAAAAATTAATAGTCAAATCACTCTTTCTTCACACATAATAATATAATCTCACCTCAAATGAATATTTACATGTTCATGTATTAATTTATAATGTATAATGAAATTAATAAAAGACAAGAAAACAATCCCATAATGCATTGTGATAAGCGTAGTAAAAATGGCAGATAGAAATAAAAATGATCGAATTTTAATTATTATTAATAATTATTTTATTTAAACCATGACTATAAAGTATTAAACAGTGCAATAATTTAATTTAAGAAATTGTTCATATTTAATTAAAAATGAATATTATATTCGATATTTCTGTGTTTTGTTTATTAGATGTAATCTAAGGAGCATATTAATGCCAAACTGCTGAAATCAATTGCAAGTCAAGTCTCCTGTGTGTACAGTAAAGTGAGGAACGCTATTCGTATAATGCACAGAGTTGCTGACTATGTAGAGCCTTTCAGTTCAGTCACTTAAGAGGTTAAAATTCAGTTAAACAGCAAGGCATCGCACTAGGCTTTGGAGCAGAGCCCACAGTTGGTGATTCAGGGTTTTCACAGTGTGGCTGAAAGTCAAGAGTTGCAAAAGTCAAACTAATATGCAATATCAAAAAGGGCTTGTTCATCTCTCCTGCTTCCTGCTTGAGAAACTCACAGGATGTGATGATGTTTTGTTTAGATTTTCGTAGCTTTGATTTGAATCCTTCCTGTCTCTGCAGTAATCCAGGTATCCAGGAGCTTCCTGTTGAGCTCGGGCAGCTCTCCAACCTCTGGCAGCTGGACATCGAAGACCTGAACATCACCAACATCCCCGCAGACGTCAGGAAAGATGGTACGACACTCGCAGCTTGTATCTACTTCAATACAAATTGCCAAGATTGCATTTCAGTAACACATACAAGATTATGCAATAATATGCAGCAATAATATCTCATCTCTCATGAATATCATAAATTTGAGCTTGAGTCTTGATCAGTATAAAAAAAAATCATAAAAAAAAAAAAATCTTTTACACACTGCTAAACAGGGTTATTATCGTTAACAATTATAAGAATAAAAAAAAAAAATTTTTGTTAGTTGAAATAAAGCTGAAATAAAATTAGAAAAACTTATTTCAGTTAGTTCTCATTCACCCCGCAACTATATATATATATATATATGAAGCGGAACGAACTAACTTGAAATAAAGAACAAATTTATCCTAAATAATTATTACAAAAAAAAAAAGTAGTTTATTTATAGATCCCTTTACAGCTAAACTGTAGACCAAAGGACTGTACAATTGGTAAAAAAAAATTAGACATAAACAATAATATAAAATAAAATACAGCTGCAAAATCAACAATTAAAAGCCATCAAAACCAAAGAATTTTTCAAACGAAAATGACAAAATGACTTAAAAAATTTATTAAAATGAAAACTGAAAATATAAAAATAAAAGCAAATTCAAAAGATTCATAAATATTTTGTAATGTGTGTGCTAACCACTGCTGCTAAATTGATGATGATTCATCATATGAATCAAATCCATCTCATGTACTTTGATTTGGGAAATAAGTTAATGGTTTTGATTTTCAGGGAATTCGTGAAATGTGACCCAAAAGCAGTCTTAAGTCGCTGGGGTATATTTGTAGCAATAGCCTAAACTACATGCTCCAGAATATTTTTCTGTATGAATATTTGAATATGCAATACACCAAATTAAAGATCAGATCAGTTTTATTCTAGCTTAAAGCATTCTTTTTTATCAACACTTGAATATAGGTAGGTTTCATAAAAATGCATAATTTTGAGCAAAAAGGTGAGAAAATCACATTTTTATCAAAAACTACATCTGGGTAATATTCAGTACGATTATCAAAGCATAAATCCAGTAAATTGCTTCTATCAACACCTCCAAAGCTTGCACAGACATATACCACTTCCTGGATCAACATTTTACTCTGTAACGTTATGCAGTTTTCATTTATATGCTGCCATTGCTGATGTTCGCATTCATACATCAATGGAAAGCTTATTTATTCAGCTTTCAGATAATGTATATATCTCAATTTCGAAAAATTGACCCTTATGACTGGTTTTGTGGTCCAGGGTCACAAATGATAAAATGTAGATCTTGAATGCAATGTAAGTGCAAGTGCTTTAGATAAAAGCATCTGCCAAATGCATGTGAATACAATGTGAATGTATCTCTGAAATTAATTAGGTGAAGAACAGTGCTCTGTATTAAACAAACAAACTAGTCGTCATGTTGAGCATGACATTATTTGTTTTTTGCGTTAGAGAACATGACATTCCGGCTCAAGCTCTGAAAACTGTTTAATCTAGGATCTGTCTGATGAATATTTCATTGGCAAATCCAGCTGTGAGTCGTTCAGCCAGCTGTTGATGCGTTTGTTGCAATATTTAGTTAGTTTCACTGTCATAACAACAGATTTGAGAGGAAGCAGCCCTAACAAACACATGAGCGGCGTACAGCTGATTCTCTCAGAGTTCATGATGCAACACTATAGAAAGGATAGAATACTGCATAGAATAGTCCATTTTTAATTTAATTTGACCTACTTTTAGGTTTCAGAATCTTTAATGTACACGCATGCTTGATTTGTAAATGTATTTTAAAATAAGTCGCGAAAGTGAAGAAAAAGGTCATATTGACAACACTTCTATAGCTGTTATTAATTGGATACAAGCATCTGCTAACAGACACTTTATTTTAATATTTTAAAGGATAAAAATTCAAATAACAAAGTGCTGAGTAAATTAAAAAAAGTCACAATCAACAAAATTTTAAAAAAGGAATTAAGAAATAATTCATTCAAATGAAGTTTAAAGTCAAATAAATGAAAACTTTAACAAAAAATAACACTTTACAATAAGGTCCCATTAGTTAATGTTAGGTAATGCTAATTTAATTTAAGGCTAAATATAAAGAGTAACATGTGCTGAGTAAAGTTGCAATAAACTAATTTTAAAACAATTAAGTAAGAAATAATTAATCAAAATGGAGTTTAAAGCCAAGTAAAGGAAAACTTTAACCAAAAAAAGTTCATACTTTACAATCAGGTCCCATTAGTTAACCTTAAAGGCTTGTTCACACCGGGACGAATATCACGCGCGATTATCGCCGACGTTTAACGCCTCATGACTAAACAAAGGGCGCCAATGTGAGTGTGCACATCGCCAGCGAAAATCGCTTGGGTATGAACACAAAAGATGCGTCGAAAAACGTCGGCAATAAGCGCGCGCAATAATCGTCCCGGTGTGTACAAGGCAAAAAGCCTGAGGCGTTTTTAAAAAAATGACGTGACTAAACAAAGGGCGCCAATGTGAGTGTGCACACCGATGCGCAAAACGCGAGGCGTAAAAGTGGCATTTTTTAAAAAACGCCTCGGGCTCGTTTTTGGGGTTTGACGCGCCGCGTTAAAAACTGGCTGACCAATGAGATTGCCGCTTTTGTTCACATGCCTGGAGCTGCTGAAGTTACAGTAAAACATGACTTGGTGGCGCTCAAGCACAAAACGGTCTTGCCAAGCACACATTGATACCTAACGACAAAGAGGAAGTAAGTAGACCAAGAAGATGCATCGAGGCAAGATGAATGTAGAGCTGCTGGTCTCATTGATGTCTGAACACAAAGAGCTTTATGACAAACGCGACAGCGACTACAAAATCTCGATAAGAGAGAGTTGTTATAGAGAGGAATTGCAGATCAAATAGGATTCGATGTGTACCGGGGTATTTCTGTTTTTCATGAAGCGCCACACTGTAAAAAATACGTGTCATTTTAACTGTAAAATTTTGTAAAAACGCTACGGAAAAAAACTCTTAATAGGTTAACAGTAAGTTCCCGTACTATATACAGGGAAAAACTGTAAAATATCTAACCAGACATTTCATGTA